ATTATGATTTTACTTTAATATTGAGTTTGACGTTTTTAAAAAAAAAATATTCTCGATTGTAATATCACAATAGACGGAAGTGAAAATAAATAATTATGAAAATTGATGAATTTTACTAATCAGACAAAGCATTGAAAATGCCAATCACGTTATGTTTTGATTAATATGCGTTACTAGTTGTTGAAGTGTTCATGTTTTGAACACGAATAGTTTGTAATCAACTAATTTAGAAGACCATATATGTATTCTTTGCGTGACAACGGAGTAATAAATGGAAAAATACAAGCAGAGTAAATGTAATCTTGAATAAAAATGCTACTCTATTCAATTAATAAAAAATTTACAATCAAAGAAGAGTAAGTTTTCCAGGAATAACCATTTTTTAGAGCCATAAACATCAGTAGAGTTCACGATATTAGAACATTTTCAATAAATTATATGAAAATAGGTTAATAAAAATAAAAATTCCTACTACATATATACCACGCAATTCTGTAATTTTTTTATGTTAATTTTAATGATAAAGTTGAACGCTAGATGAAAAAAGTTTAGTGGAATATGAGAAACAATCATGTGAAAATGTTAGGAATATATATATTACACTTTTCTTTTTTACTCTTTTTAAACTTTCCACTTAAAAAGCTAAAACGAAAAACTACTTGACATATGTCTAGCAGTTGTCATTTAGACTCAACCGTAAACTTTATTAAATCATGCTTCCGTAATATCATGAAGGCTATACTGACACTGTCCAGTTGCTCGATTGAATTACCTTTTTTGAATGAACATAAAAATTTCAAATTGACATTTTTATCTCTGTAATATATTTTGGATACATTCTGTAATAACAAAATAACAAATCTACGTAAGTTACCTTAAATTTAAGAGTTGTATCAAAACAGAAAAGATCTCTGGTATATTTTATTAAAAGTTAGAAATTTCAATTATTAAATGTAGATTTTTTTTTGTAAAAAAGACTGGAATAAGTTGTTATTTACATTAATGTTAAGTGCTTTTATAAAACAAGAAATCATTTTTCTTGTTCAAATCTAATAAATGACTTTTACAGATCAGACATTTCCTATCAATTTTCTCCTCTTAATTTCATTGTCTGACCATTTTCGATAAAGTTATTCACAAATGCAATTATTTCGCTTCATAAAAGCTTTCAAAGTTTGTACAATTTTTTTTTGTTAATGTTTTGTCTTGGCAAAAGTGGTTGTTGTAGGTAGCGAAATTTTTACTTGATCATTTAGAAACAGCATACTGCTGGACACAGTTTGAACTTTGAAAAACATATTTTTCTCTGAGACAAAGCTATCCGAAAATAATAGAAAGTTTTGAAAAAACATTACTAGTATCAATAGTTTAACAGGTTTAGTTTAAATAAAAATTTTCATTCAAAAACTCAACTCATCGATTTATATTTTCCGAACAAAACTGCTTCCAGTTATCGTTAAATGTTCACCCGGACAATTTTCCTGTATAATAACTTTACCCCTATCATCTCGCTTCCCTACGTGACTAGGATATTTAAAAAGTCGATATCATACTATTTTTTTTATGAATTAGTCTATCAAACAAATAACCAAATAACTTTTAAATATTATTATTACTGAAAGACATAAATTGTTTGGGTTAGATTAATTTCCGGATTATTCCCTACGTTTATTCACTCACACGTGTGAGGTATAGTGTTGATCAAAGATCGTTGACATAGATTTGACACCCTTAATAATACGTGTTGTTTTAATTTTCGTCGTTAACTAATATTAGTTAATAGCTAGAAATTTATTGTAAAGCTCTTTCTATGTGTAGCCTGGTAACCAGCCTGAGGGCAGATAAAATCAAGCCTGATTGATAGGTTTGTTAGAGTTGGGTTTAACAAACCTTCATGATAGCTAGCAAAATTGAGGTGCTTTTGAAAATCCACAAAGGAAAAATTCAGCTATTACGTATAAACCCATATCATTTGTTGACATGGCCACTGCTGATAGCAAAAATCTGAAGAATGAAAATATTTTCTAGAAACTAGGATTTCTAAAATTTATAGGTAGAGAATTATTGAAGAGGGAAATGGTCAACTGTGAGCTGGTTAAATTTGAACAGTAGACCAACTTGCTATGTAAACGCCTCACTACGTTGAACTCTCATTCAAAGGTAATTAAATCGAGGCTGCTTTTTAGTCGAAGGTTGAGATTGGGTAAAAGAAAATAAAAGATTAAAAATAAGAATTTAAATGTATCCAACAATCGTTTTCTCTCTTCTGATTTCCTGACCTTGTACGATCCTAGCAATGGGGTCGATCGATTTACTGCTGAAAGATAAAGGCGTACGCGTAAAAAAAAATGATGAAAAAGGCATAGACCAAAGAAAATCGAGGATTCAAGCAAAAAATGATTTTTTTATGAAAGACCATTCAGAGTTCAAATACTATTTTTCTACAAAAGAATTAAATATGATGAGTTCTCGTTTAGTAAAATAATTCAAAGATGTAAAATAATAATTAAATTTGTTGTTCAATAAACTGATTAAAAGTAGTTTAATTGTATGTCATCATCAGTGATGCGATCAGCAGCGTGATCACACCGCTAAAGACTCCTCACGTACTATATCCTTTGTGAGAATCACTGTGAAGATTATTCTGGGAGAAAGCACTCTAGTCCAAAGTTTATGCCAAGAATTAGCAAGTCTACTGAACCTCCTTGTCGAACTAGTTCGATTCTATCAAGTCGAACAAAGATTTAAGTCTTAAGAATAAGAAAATGGTGAAATTTCTACTCCAATATTGAGGATTTGTAAACTACATCTGCAGTGGAAGAGATTTTTCTCAGTGTTCATTATTGAAGTAAATAGACTAACAGATGAAGAACAGGATGATCTAGATGAGCCAACAGCTATATTTTTACATCATTTATAAAGTTTCAATTGTAACATAAAATAAAGAAATTTTATTTTGATTTTAATCTAAAATTTTTTATTATTATTTATTCAATTATCCTTCATTTAATTGATTTATTTATTATTTAAGAACTTTTAAAAAAATTTTATTTAGGTAATTTTGTATCCATCCAATTAATCTGTTTATCTTTATAAATTATTTATCTATTCTAATATTAAAATAATATTAGTATGACATACTTTTATTTATTCTGTCAATCCTATGAAAAATCACCGTCTATTATACCCTGTAATCAGAAGCGATGAAAAAATAAAAGTGATAGAAAACTTCTTATAAAATTTTTTCCACCATGAAATATAAAGTCAGACAGATTTCTTGAATAAATTTAATTGAAAATATGTAATTTAATGCTCTTAGAGTTGATTTTTTTCTTCACTCTTTACTTAACATCTCTCGGAAGCAATATCCTAAGACATTATCTTACGTAATGTTTAAAAGCATTATCACGAAAGACTTTGCTTTATTGCTCTGCACGATTCACCATAATGACATAATAAAAACCCAAGAAGAAAAATATATAAAATTTCAAATCCTTTCAGTCAATATAATTGAACATTTGCTAAAATGTTTTCAGTCATTTAGCACCCGTATAAAGAATCGTTGGAAGTGACAAAAGAGTACATTTCTTTAGTTATATTTTTGCATATTGAAACTCTTGTTTCAATAAAGTTTCTGTTGGCATTTCGTTCGATGCACACAGCGCCTGTGTCAATAGTCCTTGGATTTGGTTAACCAAACCACATGGAACTATCGGAAACTCGTCGTAGACTTGTAGCACTATCGATGTTGAGTATGTTTGAGGTCTTGCATACGACTTCTTTCCAGTATATGGTGAAAATTTGATAAGACTGTCACTTCTTTCGTTGTTAATACGATTCCACTAGCACAGAAGTGTCTTATCCTAAGGGATTACCAGAGAAACCTTTCGAATAAGATAAATTTCGAATCCACAGCGTTAAAGACACAGTTAGTGGAGACATTAGAGGTATTCGGGTACACTGAAAATGCATCTTTGGCACTAGAAAGATTTTGTTTAGAAAAAAAAGTCGTGATTGATGATATCCACTTTCAGTGACGCTGGAAAATTTACAACAACATTCTTTGTTTATTCTTCTTTTATTTTTTATCTTGAATAGCTGTACTTTTATATCTATAATAAAATACACTCAGCAGAATAAAAAGTAGCTTCCACACTTTTTCCTTATCATGCAATTATATGCATTAATGTTTAAATACTTCATTTTGATCTTTTTCTAGCTTCTAGCGATCAGACAAGAACCATTAAATTTTCTGTTCAACTTGAAAAATTTAAGAGTAAATGTTTAAGGAAAATTTACCCTTACACCTCTTGATATTTTTTTGTGATTAAATTACAATTCTGATTTTCTTACTACTTCATTCTAAGTGACGACGATCGATCACATAATCGTTTCCTGGCCACGTTCCCACTGGGCCATTCCGTATTATACAGGAAATACATAGAAGACTTAATTACTGAGCCTTTTCTACCCCTAGACATAAACGAAAATTCATTAGCCGTATGATTGACAATTTTATAGGCGAATTGATTGATTTCACTTTTTATCCAGTGAAACGTATACACAGAAAAAAAAATAAAGCGAAAGATAATCAAGCTCTTCAGGTAAATAGAGCAGTAGTATGGTATAAATTGCACCATACAGACGATAAATAATAAGAAAGAGTAAAGAGACAAAAGTAAAGAATAGCAGAAGACGTGAAAGAAGTGATAAAGCAAGGGTGAGAGTATGTTCTCGCGTACGAGCAGCGAGTAGGGTCAGGTGAGGAGAAAACTCCCGCTCGAGTTCCCACTACCTCCTCCTCCACCTCCTTTATCACATCCTTCTTACTTTCAATGTGTTGGTGTGGAAGAAACGAACGCATGCGCATGCATCAAAATTTTCTTCTCTCACTCGTGCTTACTGCAGCTTTCGCGGTATCTCCGTTTCACCCTCACCCTCTTAACAACCCCAGACTTGGCACTGCTGGCTGGCTCGGTCAATTCTAAACCAGTATGGCGCTACGCGTTCAAACCTGATATTTGTTGTACGATGTACTGCTCCGGGCTACCTATAAATGTGTTGTCGTGAAATTTTGCGCGCGAATCAAGTGTAAAAAGGCCTGGATGAGCTTACTCAAGAATATGCACTTGATATTTCAGAGTGTCTAAACAGATTCCATTAAAAAAAAACTATTTGCAAGTCAGATGTAATTTACTTGGCGATTAAAAGAATGAAAAAAGAGTATGAAAGTTTAGTGAACGCGTGAGCCAGAGGTTCAAGTGCGACCTCGTGCTCATTAGGTTGTAACGGCTGAGTCAACTTATGTGGATCAAGAGTCTCAGTTCAAGTCTCACATCCAGGACCTTTTAAATTATCTGACAGATGTATAAAAGTCTTATTGTATGATTGTTAAAAAGCCGATTGAAATTTGCCGACAATTTGTTTATTTTTTAAGAAATCGTATAATCAGATAACGATGGCGGGTAATTAATTGGAAAATAAATTATTTACCCAAATCAAGTAGCATATGATATAACCACGGTAAATAAACAAGAGTGTGACATGCCCAGATAATTACTATTATTCATTTACCACAAACAACGTTGACCTCCCACGAGGCTTAGTGGTAGCGTCGCGGTGTGTATAACGTTTTTTAAAGCAAGATGGCATGCCCATTCTCACGTGGCTTCGGCCGGACAAAACTCGAAGATGATGAGAGTGAAAGAAGACCTAGTAAAGAAAAAATAAATAGAAATGAAAAGTTCTTGTCATGTAGACAATCATCAGTGCAGATCACGTCTTCGTTGCTAGGAGAAGAGATCGACGATCAAGAAGACACACAGACTCTCAACCTGAAACACCTGAGAGCAGCTGTACTTATTCTCACTAAACCTTCGGTAGGATATTTTTTTTTCTTTTTCCTCAAATCACTTTATTCAATTACAATTCCGAATGTATAATAAGTTTATGAATAAAAGTAATCATCGATTTTATGTAAATGGATTAGACTGAATGATTGTTAAAAGTTTTTGAGTTTATTTATAAGGCGTAGAGATGTATTTTTTTTGTTTAATTTAAAAACTTGGAGTAGGAAAAAGTTTTATTATAGAGCAAAGTGTTAAATATTCAGGTTATATTAAATAAAGCTGGTACTTAAATAATTTACTTAAAAACGTTGGAAAGTTCATAAGAGAGTTGTAATAATACACTCAAATAAATTGAAAAAAAATTATTTGTTATTGTACTTTTAAAAGCATTCATTAAATGCCAGTAATTAATACTCTCTATTTCTCCCAGTCATAATATAATTCAAGTATCATAGATTGCATAATTATTAACAAATAAAATGATACAAGTTTAAATACTGAAAACTAAAAAAAAGACAATCAATTATCACGAGTATTTTCTAACGGTTTTACAAGAGTGTTTATGATATCTACACGAATCCTAAATCTTTATCTTTTAGCTTACGCGGTACGATAAGAGCGTGATAAATTGTAAACTCCTGGTAAATCGATTTCTCCCGTAGCGAGGGTTAAAAAGGTAAAGTATAAGTGGAAATGCCAAGTGATTTTAAACTCGCAATCATACACGTGTCGTCATAGCTTATCCACAAATATAAAATTGATCTGAAATTTTTCATCTGTGCTTTCTGAAAGTTTCTACGTGACACAAAAGCACTCACGTAAATATAAAATGCGGATCGATTGAGGTCAAAGCATGAAAAAGCTTCTCTGAGATGAGAGTGTAACCTTTATAACACATCTAGTGTACTCGTCAACTACATTAATGATAGCTTGAATATTCAATGAGTATCTCTTACTCCGAAATATAAAACAATTGAAACAAGGAATAACGGACCCTTTAAGATGGGATATTTTCATTTAATATGACATAAAACTTAACTACTATTCATCTTGGAAGCATCTTATTCGGAATGTGAAAAAGAGAAACTGAATCGTAACTATAACATTTATTTTTCTACTTTTTATTTGTTTACTTATTTAATATTATTTGATACACATTTAATATAAAGGGAAGCTGACATTTTTCTATTAAAATCTCTTTCTGAAAATAGTTCAATATTTATTTCAATTGATGCCAATTTATTCGAACGTGATCTATATTTTTATTTACATTATTAATAATAATAACGTTCAAAGAGCAGAATAAATATTTTTTGATTTATGAATAATAGAAGTTCAACGGTTTATTTCTATCAATTGATTTATGATTCAATAAAAATAAGAAATGCATTAATATTTTAGAGTCGAAGGCTTCGAGAGTTTTAATTGCACATTAGTTACATTTCTTTGCTTTTATTACCTACTGTATGTTTCTGACATAAAAAGTTGATGAACAAAATTCTTTGTGAAATATTGTTCTATAAAAATTTTTATGAAAGATCTTAAAAATTAGTTACAGTTTAAATAATGTCTTTATTTAGTTTTTATAAAATTCTTTATTGTATTATTGAAGCATAAAAAATAAAAAAATATTATCATAAAGAAATCACTCTAATACCTTTGATAACATTTTTTTATTACATTGTTTTTTCATTTTATATTGTGTGGAAATTAAACTCTCACATTTACCCTATCGCTGAAAATGTATTAAAATATTCAAATAAAAATACACATTAAAAAATATTTCATAAAATACATATGGAGGTTGTTACTACGAGGTAATGTTTATTATTCAATTTTCCAGCATATTTTTTTGTAAAAATAAAAGCTTATGCATTGACATTAATCTTAGTATACAGGATGTCAAATATAACTACATCATTTATCTATAGACTGGAGTTAATTATATTATTAAAATGATAAATATGAGAAAAAGAGTATCCTCATGCAGTATTGCGAAAAGTTAAATATTTTTACTATTAAAGGAAAAAAAATGTACAATATCGACATGATCCGTGGAATGAAAAAGGTTATTGCGAGATGAAGATTTATCTGTTTTAATAAGTAAAAAGATGTAATGGATATAAAAAGCAAATACATTAATTCCGAATTTAAACAAAAGAAGGATTTATATGTTATATTCAACGAATCGTAAGTCGTAATATACAACAATTTTTATGGATTGGCAAACAAAAATATTCACCAAAAAAAAAATAAAGACGGAGAAAATTTATTTCACTTTATAAATTGTGGCTGTTTGACAGAAATAGTAAAAAAGAAAGAAGGAAAAAGTACATTTAATAATAATAAAAAAATAATTGAACGTTCTAAAAGATTCAGTCCTCTTTAATGACATTGTATAGAATGCCGTTGGAATTACCGTTTAAATGACTAGTTCACTTTCAAGGTTTAAGATTCGAAAATCAAATTTCTTTTACATTTATAGGTGAATGTAAGATGCAATTCGTGGGCAACCGTTGGAGATAAAGTAAAGAAAAGGGTTAGGAAAAAACTCACCTCCGTAAAACGAGTCAAGTCTATTGTACTTGTTGAAGTCTTTATATGCCATAGAATAGTGAAAACTCGCTTTGGAAGAACATCATTTTTTGGGAAGTTAAATTTTAGACCAACTTGGAAGAAGTTTACATTGAAACGCATTCATCTCCGTAAAACTCCGATAACGTCTTTTAAATCCGACAAAATACGGAGAGGAAATCTTATTGGATCCCATCGCGATTAAATTACTTTAAAAGGCTGGAAAGTTATTGCATTTACAAAGATACGAATGAAATTAATATGATAGACATTGAAGTCTTCATTTTTGTTTATTTTCAAATTTTTTTTTTTTTGATTCATTTTTATTTACTCAACATCAAGATTTTTTCTGACAAAACTTCGGCTTTTGGTTTTCATTCTCTAAAAATAAATCCGTCCAAACTAACTGATAATTTGAACTTCAGACAAGATAATTAAATTAAATAGTAACTAAATTGTCTCGCGTACTGTTGCTACATTTGAAACAGACAAATTCATACTATAACGGATATATCTTGAGGTTGATTGATGAAGCTTTTTATCTCTTGGTTTAAAAGAAAAAATTTATCCACTAGTAGAGTAATTAATAAAAAAATGTCACTGTTAAAAATGTAATCTATTAATTTCTATACAATTTGTTAGTGTTGTGTCGAAATCCATTTTTTTTATTTATATCTCTATCACGACAATACTAAATAATAAAAAATAAATTGAATTTTAATTGCGAAATAATTTCATCTTGGCGTCAATCTTTGTATAGATTGACACTTGTTGAAATTTTTGACTTTATAGAAATACCAAAACATTAGAGATTATTATTGTTGCCAGATAATCTTATTTTTCAGTTAACCATTTCCGGAGTAATTTCATTGGTATTAACTTATTTAATATTTTGATAAATTACTTGTCACTCTGATTATCTGATAGGAAATTTTACTGGTCAGTTATTATTAAAAAACTGCAAATTACAATATTGAATTACAAAACGATAAAATTCTTTCAATTATGCTTACAAACAAAAATTTTTTTGAACGTTCAGGCTTCAAGGATAAATAAATCAGAACGCCAAGTGCAACCAGTTTGTGTCGGGTGCATTAAAATATACTTGCTATAAATAATATTTCACACCGTGTATGATATGCAAACATTACGGATTAATAAATTTGAGTAACCAATCGCTGAATAAGCTCTCTTTATTTATTATCAATCGTTATATACTAATTTGTTGAAGAAACTTAAACATATTATTTATCATTAATTATCATTAACCATAAATTCAAATTATTATGCTACAAATTATTACCATCCATTAAAATTTTCTCATACCAACTTTGATAAAATATACATTTCATAGCAATTAAAACGAAAATATTTTAAATTGAATGGTGAATGTAATCTTCAGTGTGATAATATGGAAATTAATTAAACTTTGTCAGGATTAGTAATTAATAAAATATTTTAATATTTTGTGTCAGATTAAATTCCAACTTTATCATAGTCGTATTATATGTAAATATCTTCTTTTGTCTGTCCTTAATTAAATCTGTTATTTTCATAAGAATCGAGTTTTCGTATCCTTAGATAGTTAGCAAAACTTAGTTTGGTCGTAGCTAGTCAGGCGTTTTAAGTGCAAAGTTTGTAACATCATTCAAGTTTTCTCATATTCAGTTAGGATAGATGTATTATAGAGCTCAAAATTCCGTGAAAATCGTACTATTTTCAATTGAATCTCGATACAAGTTGAAATAGAAAGAGTTTCTTTCTGTCACATATTTAAAAAAAAAAAAAATATGAATTCAAGGATATAAAGAGAGAAAAATTTGTAGAGCAATATTGTATTTCACATAGCTAATTTTAATAAGATACACATCTTTCAAACGAATGTAACAAGTAGTAATCAAGTTCAAAAGACTTTAAATTGGAATGTACTGCATCGAATATTGCATTATAATATTTTTAACGGGTGACATTTGAAGGATAAAAGAAGCTTTAGTTGTAGCCTTTAAATCTTCTCTTCAAAGATGAATATTCACTGATTTATTTTTAGAGATTTTAAAAAACATTCAATTTTTGAATAAAGATAAAAATTATTCACAAACTATGGTTGAAATTACTTTAATTTTGGTTTATTTTTACCACAGCACTTGTTATGTCTCCGGCTTATTTCCAGACGCTACAGTCATTTTTACGACAAAAATTTTTTCCGTGTAGCTTTGAAATTTTTCTGCTTTTTCCCTTTTTTTAGAACAATCAACGTTTTTCTATTTTCTTTTGCACTGAATTCAGACTTTTCGGGAGAATAGTTTTCCGTGAAATTTTATCAGTTTTTTCTGCGTGGGAAAGGCTAAAGAGATAATAAAAGCTTCGTATTCTGGCAAAATTTTCCGATAAATCTTTCATGATAATTTTTGTAACCATTAGACTAGATAAATATATATTAAAAAAATGAAAGATATTATTTCAATTTTACTAAAATGTACGAGATAAATTTAGATGAGAATTTTGATTAATAATTGAAAATAGACTAACAGAAATTATTGATAACATGTACAGATATTATATATCTGGCTCAATTAAGACAGAAATTCAATTTCAATGGTGGATTACAAGACATGATAAGAGCTTTAATACTCAAATAAATGCGATAGAAACCATCAAGCTGTATGAATATTAGGTTTCACAAACCAACATGTTTCCAAAACTAGTACGAATATTTCCAAGGATTCAACAATAATAAGCAGTTGTGTTGAACATCATGGATGCATAGAAAACAAATATTATTCTCGATTTCTGGAATTCCTTTATTTACTGTCAATATTTGTCTAATATATTTCCAGCTTTTGCTCTGATTGTTTAAAATATTTGATTAGACAGTGCGGAAGAAAATGTATTGTCGTGATGCAAATTCCGACGAATATACAATGTGAAATAACAAAGTACCTACACGGATGAGAAATGAACATTGAATTCAGTAGTGTAACTCGCTTGTAGGCAGACATTTTTACAATAGAGACACTTTCAGAATGGCTCTTTCATAATATTGCTGAGTCGTGAGAGCAGATTCTACTAATTCCTGACCCAGTTGTCAGGTGCGTTCTATACCTACGTAATGGCTTCAACGACATGTCACGATGACGCTCGATCTCGGGCGAGTGAATTTATATTAGTCGGTATATTGATTGTAGCTCAATGTAGGATTAATAATACGTGGAAAATATTAAATTGAGAATCGATAATTAATTCATCACACAGAGTATTATTCATCAGTGTAATTGGATGAGTAACTTGTATTGATAAGTGAAAAATCAAACAATGCACCAAGAGAATTGATAAATTCATGATGCTGAAAAGTTGAAAAACTAACAAATGGGCCAAGGATATTTTTTACATATTTTAAAACTCTAAGGATCGAATGGCGCCATGTCTGGCAATAAAATAGACCGAAAGATTTTGAAATATTTATAGTATTCGGACTAGTATGTACAACATATAAAGTGATAATAAGTACTGTGTTATCTATAAATTCACCATTTTATTTGTTTACGATAATATCATACTTATAATATGAAAGATGAAATAGAGATAAGAATTAATCGAAGTAATACATTCTATTTGATGGCATTTCAATGTACCCTTTTAACGGGTAAGAAAAATAATAGGGTGAGATAACTGTAATTTTAACTGATTAAAATCACTCTACACCTCTATGATATTGTTACTTTTAACCTGGAATACTAAACAGTTGTATATGACAATTGAATTAGATGGATGATTACGGAACTGTTGTGATAACACCATGTTAATCTCGTTATGGATTATCTTAAGTGATTTATAACAATACTATTGTATTTATAAAGCGAATCATACTATAGGGAATAGCATTCGTTATACTTTTATTGCATTCTCATTAAAACACCTAAATAATTTAGTAAACCGTTTTCTGTTTCAATTCGTATGATTCTAAATTAAATCGACAAAAAGGTAGCATAAATTGTAGTTTCAATTAAAATATATCACCCTTATTTTACGTAATGCAGGCTCTTCTGAGTTAGCTAATTTTCTCTATACATTTCTAATGATATCTAAACTAATGAACAGCTGTTTAACTGTATTCCTCTTCAAATAAACCTTCCTGAGAATACATTCAAAATTAAATAGACAAAATAATCGATAATGAAATTATTTTTAGAAAATAACTGAGCATGTAAAGTCTATCTTTCGATGAAAAGAAAAAGTTGAATTGTTGAAAAAAAAAATTTCTTTTAAAAGTTTTCTTTGACTTTTTCAATTATCTTTCAATAATATTAGCTGGAAATAATTTCTTCTTGCTGATTTAATCCATCGACTTCATTCATTATTCTTTTTGCAGAACGAAGTAATAGCTGTCGCCTTGAGTACCCTTTTGAGCAAGAGTGAGCTACCACTGTCGACTTCAACATCTTTGTAAGTCATTTTCTTTTATTTTTCTGTCATATAAGTACTCTTAGTCAATAAATCAGGTAAGACGAATCGACGCTCATTCATTTATTAATGAATATTTTGAAATCTGAAATTATTATTGAGTTTTAAAATTTACTTAAACTTTCATGTTTTCTAATGTTTAAATAACCAAATTAAAAAGTTATTTTGTTGAGGTAAAGTAGCAACTATAACTCATAATTTACAGTCGTAGTAAAATCTAACAAGAACCATATTTAATGTGATTTTTTTCTTATTTTTTTCTCATATTTCGATTAATCGTGTTTACGCTGATAAAGTATATTCCGTCTCTCCAGTTTATCGCGTGATCGGCTTCCCATTTTCAACTCTCATATAAAGTCACGCAAGTATGTAACGATCAATTTTTGATAGTTAGATGGTTATAATCACTGCTCGTTGAAAATATATATAGTTTGTATAAATATTTAATAATAAAGTAGTACATACGTACAATTAAGGTAACAAGCCTAGCAATTTATACCAGTCTCCCAAAATTGCTATATTCATATTTTCTTGCTCTAATTGTGTTGCAGAGAAAAGCTCCTTCACAACGTTGATACTGAAGAGAACTACAATTTGCTAGAAGATATTTATGAGACCTTAAACTACGTTTGCGGTAAGACTTCTGACAGATTCATTTCTCATATTAATTATTTTAGTCGACAAAATCTTCATTTTTGCATAATATTAAGTATGAAATAGATATTTCGATGTTATTTTTAGAGCAATCTATGTTTAACCACTCACTCTTCTCTTTTTAGTTTAAATTTTTTTTAGTCTTCCACTTGAGCAAAAAGCTTCAAAAAATGTTGTAGATTTTTATCCTCATTTACATTTTAAATATTTAAAATGTTACGAAATTTTCACTTCCTAAAGTAAATGAATAAAATTTAAAAAAAATTAATTTTTTAAAATATATTTTTAATTCAAATACTCGTTAAAAATTACTCAATAAATACTTTTAGAAAATTTTGTATGAGATATTTGATATTTTTTTATTAATTTCATTATTGAATTCCAAAATTTAGAGTGAATGGAGATTATCTATTTCAGTACGCCAATTAAAAAATTTAGGAGGAAAAATTCGGCAATTAGCTATTCAAATTGAAATAGAAGTAAAAAAAAAAAAACTAAATTGCCCGAGGCACACCTATTCGAGTATATGAATGAATGAAATAATTAAAACAATTTAGAAAAGTTCGATAAGTAATAACTAATTACGTATAAAAAAATTCATACGTATTTCCTGTTTTTATTATTTTTTTTTCTTTCCTGATAATTGCTTATTAATTTTTTATACTTTATCCCGGAAATAGATCTGAAGCCAATATAAAGCTTGATAAGAAAAAATATTTATGTTGATAAAATGTTGGAAAGTTAAAGAAAACAATAAAAAAGAAATCAGAAATGACAAAAGGGTAACTGTGCCTTGCCTTTTTATGTAGTGAGTTTCTTTGAGCAATAAGAATTCTTCCTCTTTATTATTCTAAGCTGTAGCATGTGAGAAAATAATAATGCTCAGTGACAGAAACAATAGTTTGTATGTGTTCATTTTGTATCTCAATTACACTTAATCTTGTTACACTAATTTACAAATCGAATCAATATTTTTTTAACATTTAGTACATATTTTTTTTTATTTTTGTTTTCATTTATATCCCATTCGAAACATTCTCCTTATTTTGCGATGCTTCTTCAAAGCCGTAACGTGATACAATATCATTTCATCGTCTGGAGTCTTATGCTTTTCAACATGAAACAACAACACTCATAAGTGGATTCGGTTTGCTCTTACTAACAAATATATAGAGTTCACTCGAAAAGAAAAATAAAAAAACTTCAAGTATGTCCAGAACATCAAAATTTTCTGCGATTTCTGCTTCAGATGGCTCTTAAAAAAATAGATAACATTAAGATCTTTAAAAAGAATTTATTAAACTTTCTTTAATTTATCTATAAAATATAACTTGCAAGTATTTCTTTTATTTAATCAAAATTTATGTTTTAGTGGAAACTATATCATTTGTTAAAAGTATCAATCTCTTTGTTACGGTTAAATAATTTTCCGTATATTTAATCAGCACCTGTTTATTTTTTTTTCTTCAAACTGATTTTTATTTACTGAACAATACCGTAATAATCACAGTTATATTTTAAAAGAACTGTTTCGATAGTTTTCTCGGAAAGTTTGAAAAACAAAAAGTCTTAATTGGACAAATAAATAAACTCGTTATATAAACTTAGATGAATAACAAATTGGATAATTATCGAATTAATAGTGTTCTGTTTAATTTTCAGAAAAGCGTGTAATTTTTTGGTGGTGATAAAAAACGAAAAAAATAACGTATTTCCGCAACTAGTTTTTTCCCAATAAAATTGGTTTTTTCGTGTGTGCCATGTCAATGTAGCGACATGAGAAGGCCAAATATGTGTGTGCTTTAACAAGAATTCAAGAGATTTTTCTCTCTCGTTTTTCAAAAAATTTTTTGCTTTTTCTTTTATCAGAACTCTTAGTGGTTTTTATATCTGTAGTTATAAATTACTACAACCTCAGTTCACCAGAGGAACGTCTGACACGATTTTAGTGAGCATTTGCTAACCGTTTTCGGTCCATTTTCGCTGCATTGACTTACAATCTCACAACACACAAGAAGGTTCGAATACCCACTATCTTATCATTCTTATCCCATTTGCAGTAAAAGATGTTGAATGGAGTGTGATATGTCAAAGGAGCCAAGAAGATTATTATCAAGTGATTGTTTTATGTCTCACTCACTTCAAAATGCTAAAAGCTCCATAAGAAAATAAATGTAGTTATTGCTTATATATATTTTCCTCAATAAAAATCATTTTGACTTCAATCAGTTTAAACATCCTCATTAACTTTAATACAAAGTTTAATTCATATATTTATGTTAATTCAGCTAATTTTTATAATAGGTAATTATAGTTTCCAATGAATAGAAAACTCTTGACCATGAAATAAATTTTAACGAGAAGCTCACTCCAGTTATTGATCCCCCATAGTCAGCTGCTATATGAGTCTGGCTTATACTTGACTGTAGACTATAATTTAATTTCCTTACGTGTCAGTTTTCATTTAATATATAGCACCAGACTTGTTTCGAAGAATATGCAAACTGCACTTGACATATCAATTGTTAATTAATAACTTTGGTAAAAAAACTTTAATCGTAAATTTGAAGAGAACTAATTTAATTAATGATGAATAGATAGTTTGCGAGAATTATTAATGGAATATGAAAATGATTTTGTTTGCAGATATTGAAGTAAATGTATTTCTGGACCACTTGGGACAGGAATTAATTTCCACAGCTTGTGTAGGACTACTCGAACGAGCATTTCGATGTCTCGGAAATGACCTGACGGCATTTCTAACGACTCTTGATGGTGTGAATGATGTTGTCCAACATCAGTCTGGAACTAATGCTGAAGCGGAATTCGTATGTATAGCTACTCCGGAAGCTGTCGAGCTTCATTTTACGACTGATCACCCGTCCATTGCTTATCTCCTCGTTGGAAGTCTCAAAGGCATTGCTAGACAATTTTATAATGATAAAGCTGATGTCTACATTCTTCCAGATCCATATAATATCAAGTTCTTCAGGTAATTTTTTATTAATATTCTATAATAAAATTATTACTATCACGATCGCATTGAAAAAATAGAAAAAGATAAAAACTCATTTTAAAACGAATTACAATTGCTCATTCAGCATAATGGAAAATACAGATATTCTAGAGATAAAAAGAATAAAACGTTACTGTATTGTAAAGTATCTGTTCAAGCTTTATGGACACTTTGATCAATTTAAATTCCTAATAAATTTTACTCAATGCTATTCCACTTTATAAAATAGGACAGAGAAGTTAAATTAGTTACAATATTATTCACTACAAGTTTCATTGCTCTTATTAAATTCAGATTACGTACGTATCAGTGAAATCATGATATAATAACCGTCACGCGCCTGATGTTCGTGTTATCCTTTAACGAACATCATTGTACATGATGCATATTAACGATATAAAATGTAGATATAAAAATTGATATGAGTTTTTGGTACGGAAAAATTTTTCATGTATCGTGGTTGACATTTAATTGGCTATAACTTAGAAAATAGAATGAATAATAAATTTCCACTTCCAAGATACACCTAATATTTCATGCATATGAACATGACGATTCAAATCGTACAAGAACTCGTTTCCTCACATTAATCCAATAACTTTTCCATTTTCTTCTTCAATTGGTAGATTGATTTTCGATATACCTTTTTCAGGTATCGGATAACGCCTGAGCGCTACGAACATCTGGGCACGACATACGACGATGACTTAGACGTGGTAACACCGATATCTCATATGTTATCTACAGAAGCAGCAGACTTACGAATGGGCGTTGCAAGTTTTTGTAAAGCATTCCCATGGCATTTTGTCGTTGATAGACAGTTGGAAATTGTCCAGCTTGGTGTTGGATTCATGCGCATTTTTGGACACAATCTCAATAAATATGGTCGTGAGATATCGACCTATTTTGTATTCATTCGACCCCGCGGTGTTACACTTACATTTCATGAGATTTTGAAGCGAGCGAATACGCCATTCGTTCTTACCCTACAAAAGCCACCCGGCACTGATAAATTTCTAGCTGAAGTAAGTCTAGTATAAAATACGTGACCGATGTTCATTTATCTACTACAAGTCGCTAGGAGATAAAATTAATGAACACCTTGAATTAATTACTATCTTTTTATCTAATGTATCAAGATCACGATCTGCTAGAAGTCTTTGTTATTAAATCAAAAAAGGTTTAATGAGAAACCTTAAATTCATACTATCTTCACTAATGATTGTTGACTCTATAAAAGCTTTTCATCTGTCAACTCAAAATTCTTCAATATCATTATTTTTTCTCTGGCAAATCATTTTGAAAAAAATTTGAAAAATTTTTCTCTATTTTTTTTTTTAATATCATTATTATTATTCGTTAAAGTATTTTTATTATTACGTGAACATACTTCTGTTTTTTGCTGCGACCTTTTATGCACAATTATTAAAATACTTTAACTAATAATCGAAATAACGAAGAATAGTTAGATTAATGGAATTCTTGATAATGATTAAAAAATTAATTAAGAAAATTTTTTATATTAAAAAAAAGTGAATGAATAGATAGAATAACAATGAAGCATTGTCAAAATATAATTTTGTAGATAAACTTCTATTTACAGTCAACAGACTATTAATAAATGTCTTTGTGTTTATATAATATAGGGTCTAGAGTTGAAGGGTCAAATGGTACACTGCCCAGAATCAGATTCAATTTTATTTGTGAGTTCTCCATTTCTCAATGGCCTAGAGGGTCTCACAGGACGAGGTCTCTTTATTTCGGACATTCCACTTCATGATGCCACAAGGGATGTCATTCTGGTTGGCGAGCAAGCAAGAGCTCAGGTAACTATGGCATCACAGTATTATACAGAAACATTATCATTCTGATAGTCTAATATAATATCTATAAGGACTTACTAGGCCAAATATAACCTGCGAATACCCTGCAGTAGATTTAATAAAAGATAGTTCTTTTTATTGTAGCCACCCCGAAAAGTTTGAATGGGGATTCAGTCTATTATTCTTGACATTTAATGCTACTTTCTTTTTTCTTTACTATACAGGATGGCTTAAGACGACGTATGGATAAATTGAAAAGTTCTATTGAAGAGGCGAATCGAGCAGTGGATGCTGAAAGAGAAAAGAACGTTAGTCTGCTTCATTTAATTTTCCCACCGGATATAGCTAAACGACTTTGGCTTGGTATGAAATGTCTTAAGTACTCCCTCTCTATTCTTTTTTATATCTTAATAAAATAGATTAAGCTAGTATTTCATTGATTTTTATGATATTCTTCTCTTGTATCTGTTATTCTTTCAACAATCAACGACAAAATTTCCATAATCTTTATCAGATTGATTAGCATGACTGATACTAAATCACAAATGTGATACTTAGCTATTTACGATAGACTATTAAATGTGCTATTTCTCGTTAACGTTCTACAGTAAAATTACACTGATAACTCGATTTTCCACCACAGGTGAAACAATCGAAGCAAAGACCTATCCTGATGTCACGATGCTCTTCAGTGATATAGTTGGCTTCACCGCAATATGCTCTACGACTACCCCGATGATGGTTATCAATATGCTGCAGAATCTCTATGAGCGCTTTGACCAATTCTGTGGTCAATTGGATGTCTACAAGGTAAATTACATATACGCTAAATGAAGTTCATTTATGTAATGGAAATGAAGGATACTCTTATACAAATGAAATTACATGCTCATATCTCAGATGAGCATCGTTTAAATTACAACTCGGAGATTGTAGCATGTAACAAAAACAACTACAAAATTATAATTCTTTTTAGCTTATGTATATTCTTTATCTCATGTTACTTTTAATTACTTTATCATTATAAAAAAATTCATTAGAAGCATGTTAATTGTATTAAATACCTTTAATACAATTTTAATAGTCCTTTGCATTATTACAAGCTTGATGTAATTTACATCCTGATCGATAATATAAGGTCTCGATAGACTAGTGCATCAAATACAATTTCAATATTTAGGTCGGTTGCACTTGACGTCTAATTATGAGCTTGAAGCTCATTATGAATAGAAAAATTTAATCAAGTCATTATTATAATTTTCGGAAAAATTTAATTACGGTAAATAATTAGGAACATCATACGTTGAATATATAATGATATGATGAAATATATTGAAATGTTTCAGGTGGAAACTATTGGTGATGCTTACTGTGTTGCTTGTGGTTTACATAAAAATACCAGCACTCACGCGCAGCAAATTGCTTGGATGGCTTTAAAAATGATACAAACATGCTCTCAACATCTGACACATGAAGGGAAACCCATAAAGGTGAGACGACTCAATTCAGGATTATAATAGTTAAGTTTGCTCGGTAAAAGGCTATAAATTTACAAAGTAATCAGCTCAACTAAAAATAACAGATTATTATAACAGCAATAGGAGTATGTTTGTTTAATTTTGAGCTTGTTCGAAAGTTTTGTTATGTTGTAAGTTTCATTATTTATCACAAAAGTGAAATAAAATTTAAATTAAATTAAAATTTTTATCATAGACATAAACTATAATTCAATAATAAATATCGGAAATTGCTTAATTCCATCAGATGCGGATTGGAATTCATACCGGAATGGTATTGGCTGGAGTCGTGGGTAAAAAAATGCCAAGGTATTGTCTTTTTGGACACAATGTCACTCTCGCTAATAAATTTGAATCAACTAGCGAACCACTTCGTATAAATGTTAGCCCAACAACATATGAGTAAGTGATTTATTGATGCATACAAATTTTAATATTGATAAACGGATATATTGATTTACTTTAAACTAAATTTAGCCATGTTTATTAATTGACATATTAAATAATTGTTAATCATTGAATTTATTTCAGACATCTCATACAAACACCAGGATTCATCTTGGAAGCGCGGACCAAAGATAATCTTCCGAAAGGAATGCCAGCAAATGTACCTGGCACTTGTCATTTTATCAATGGCTATTGTCATCCTGATGTTAATAAATCTGAACCACTAGATGTTCATATTCAAGCAGCTGTAACTGAATTGGGTATTGCCGGTGGCATGTAGATAAATTATATTATATTATGAAATGATATGAATACAATTAAATAAAATAATTATACAACATAGAAGTATGAATCTATCAATTATTTGAATGCACCGTTATGTAAAATAAAATTGAAAAATAAATAAATGAGATAATAAATAAAAATATTATGATGAAAATTCCGATTCATAAACTTTTATTACCACTAAATTTTACTAATAATTTGTACTTACCAAGTACCGTATGAAAATAAACAAAATTGGATTGATTCGAATAATACTGTTTTGTTGATAAAGTTGTCGATGAAATAATGAGTATTTTGCTCAAGAAATCATGCTCATGTATTATCACATAAATACCATTAACAGTAACTAAATATTTAATTACACAGACAAAGAGAAAAAATTATCAAAAACCAAAATTCAAGCGATTTTGTTTGACGCAATACAACTAAAGAATACTGCGAAATTTTATTTACCAGCAAGCGACACCATTCGTTAAAAAAACAAACTATAATAATATATAAATGCAACTAATGAATGGATATGTAGGAATCTTTTATACTATTATTGAACTACTTGCCAACTGATGTTACTTGTGAGCTAGTTTACTAACAGAAACGCTCAAACTCCAATCACGTATCTTCTACTTTACCGATTTGACCGTTTTTTTCATTGAGACGCTCGTACAAAAGCTCATCATTTTATTCTCTTATATTATATTATATTTCTCTTTCTAAAAATTGTTCTATATAATTCTTTTTATGTCAGATCTAATTCTAACCACATTTACTTTAATTCAATTTATATTAAGCCATAATTCATTTTGAACTTTCTAAAAAATTCAGGCATTTATTTATCACCCGGTTTTTCCTTACATTTTTACAAATGTCTACCAAACATTAATGAATGTAAGTACACAAATTATGTTAATTTTATTCATTATCTTCTTGAAAAAGTATTTTTATGAAGAAAAAGACATTAATCACATATTATCTTTGACTTTGACTTTCAGTTTTTTCCACTCTTTTATTCATTAAAAATATATAAATATATATTTTGGTTAAAATAAGAGCATTTTTTTGTAACAAAATGTCTAAAGACTTTTGTGCCTACTGAAAAATTTTCATTTATATGTACAAAACATTGTTTTAGAATGAAAAAATATAAGAAATAAACACCGGAGGCTATCTTGAACAAAAAACTATAGTTAGAAGATCACAAGGCCATTTTTCCAGTGCTCAGATTGCAGGGTTTGATAAATACATATACTAGTGTAGCAAGCATAGGTTTATGTGCTGTGCCTTTTTCTGTTCCTTACATATTTTTTTATCGAAGTTCTCATGTTCACGTGCAAGAGACACGAAGCCGATCTTACTCGTCCTCGAGGCAAGAGAAAAAATTAAACATTGGACCCGGAAGTTACAGCGTGTAATCAAACGACACAGCAAATACGGTGAAACGGAAGATAACTAAACATGCTACAAACAAACTCAAAAGAAACGCAAAGGAGTCACCAAACAATTATGCTGTTTTATTCAAGAATATGTTTTCTCTATAATCTTTAAAGTATATGTTATCATCAACTTCTATTTTTCTGAAAGTAAATAAGTAAACACTCTGGTAAGTTTGAACATGAACTATCGATTTTGCTAGCCTCTGATAAAATATTTCCCAGTTTTATATGACAATGTTAGATTAATGTGTATAATTAAAATTTTAGAGAGGTGTTGAATGATATGTCAATATTGTTGATGAAATTATGTGCTGGAGATTTCTTAGTCATCCTTGATTGCAGTTCAAACTTTCAGATGAAGTTGATTTTTTCATTATAAGATTAACTTCTTTTTTATGGTTTATAAATCATTAATAAATATTATAATTTATGCGATGAGTACCTACCGCAAAGATGAAAGAATATTTCAATTCGAAGAGACGCTAAATTTGAAATTTTCGATACTAACAGTAGTAAATTATTCTCGAATATTATTCATGATTTGCATCAAATATATACATTCTGAGAATAATCCAATCAAAAACTGCAAATCAGTGAAAACTTTTCCTATTTTCAACGGTAACTAATTCAACTAGCAATACATTTATATCTGGAAATGAGGAGCTTCTTTCATACTTTGAGACTAAACCTTCCTATTTAATTTGAGTAAGTATGTTATTCCACCTCAATAATATTTAAACATAAATTATTGATTACAAAAACATGTTATTTTTTTTTAAATCAAAGTACTAATTGACATGGTAACTTTTCGAACTTTTACATTTTTAATCGAACTTTTTTAAATATTTTGACAGTTTTTTTACATAGTAATTAATTTAATCAAGAATCTCTATTAAAATAATTTTCTGCTATTTATCCAGATAAAACTAATTCACTGATAGTGCACTCTATTTAACTCTTAGCATTATTATATCACTTCATATCAATAGAATTTTGAATGATATTTTTTGTAACAGTTATCATATTTTTTATAAAAAGAGATTTATCAATTATATTATTTACGAGCTTATGAAACTTACAATACCTATGATTTTATTGTTTAAAAATATTGTTTAATCCGTAAATATTGAAAATTAAACTCTATAATCCGATCCTATTAATAATTCAATCAATTATCATTTTGTACATAGTTAATTCCAACTTTTAACAATAAATTACTCTTACCACGTTTTTCAAAAATATTCTTCTCTCATATTAAAGAGAATGTACTGACAATCTATTGATGTCTTCAATGCAATTCTTTTTTATAATATTGATGTTTTACTTTTATAGCCTGGGTTCTTCACAACATCGTCGATGTCTTATCTTGTCTTGCCTATGAGACAGAAACAGGACAACCTTAAAAAATTACCAGACGTACTTCCACGTACAAAACTTTTATTAAATGTTTTCTAATTTATTTTCCTGTCTACTGAAGACTATACGTGAGCAAAAGATGTTCATCTTGTAGGTATTCTTTAGTATTATTTTTCTAACGTAGCATAGATTTTTAGCATATTTGTACATATATGCATTACTTTTTTTCTCATTTGTTTTTTCGTCATTTTTACCATTCATAGTTGGATTATAATGAATCTTCATTAACTTTATCAGATAAAAGTTATATTAAAAGCATTTCTATTTCCCCACTTTTATACACTTAACAGGTATATTGATATTTGTACAGAAAGATCCAATAAACGCTTCTTATTGTACGGTGTAGCATCATTAACACTAGATTATTAATGAACCGTTCTAACGAAGACAAGCGCTACCGAATAATAAATAATCATTATAGTAGAATACGAGTTGATCCAATCGATAATTCAACTTCGGCGCATACGATAACGAAAGAATGAATCTAATATATGCAAAAATTAAATATAAATCAAATTTTAAATTAATATAAATTATTGAAATATTTTTAACTTGAATCATACATTTAAAATGATAAACACCGCGAAGGTAAATATTTTAAAATACCAAAATCAATATTTAAATTTATTTTATTGTTTAATCATTAAATATCGAGCATTTAACTTATATCACGCAGTGGTTGAGTTTTTACATTTATTGGCTTCTTGCAGATATGCTATCTGGATGCTAGGCAATAGGAAAGTGAGATGGAAAGCGTGAAGCCATGGAATTGGTTCCGCTCAGAGGATTTCGCCAAACTCGCCGCAAAAGTTACGTTCAAGGTGGGTGTAAAGAACGAAAAAAGTGGAAGGAAATAGGTCCTCTTATTTTTCTTTCACTTCCTTTCTTCTTCTTTTAACAACTTTTCTTTCTTCATCTTTGTCGTGTTCAGTGAGGTGTGGTTCTAACGTAGATTTCGTGGGTGTTACAGGTTTCACATTTGTCTTGAAGTGAACGAACGTGCACTGCAAAAACTCATGGCAGTGAGTCAGGAGGTGACGCTGAGATTGAGATGTTGAGAAGCATTGGAGATACTATAGAATGCCAGCAATGCAAGTCATACTTTTCGATTGAACATCTCATTCCATATTCGCTGAGCTAAAATATATTTTGCATTTTTACATTTCAAAGGTATATATTTATATTTTTATATACGAATACAATAAATGAACTGTAGAAAATAGCATTGCTGCACAGAAAAAATATCAATGGAGTAAAAGTAGATAAATACATTTGGCAATGGCCTGATCTAGAATATTTGCCAATATTTTATATAGCTCACTTTTTTACATACATATATAAACTTTTTTATTTATTTATTTTTAGCTTGTTTGTGGTAGCTGTGTCATCTAAAACACAATAAAATGCTAATAAAGTAAATAACGCGGAAGCAAAACTAATACTAAGTGTAATTTGAAGCCCGCATATATGGTTATACACTGAGTATATTTAGTTGAATGTCAAAGGATTTGATTACTCCTATTTTCTTCTATTCTTCTGTATCTCCATCTCGCTTCTCGTTTTCTCCACTAAATTGAATAATAGCTAATGAGGATGAAAGGGAGTTGAATGACAGAACAGATAGCCAAAGGGGTAGTCCAATCTCCCGCTGATGTGATTCTCGACGAATGGTTCATTAACATGTGCTTTTGGTGAATGATGAGAAACAAACGTGAGATAATCTTGGTGTTGATCGATACTTATGGACAATTGTCATAATATGTAATCAAAATTATGGTAATTTGTTTTACATTTTACGCCACTGTTTTGTCTTACGCACTAAAGTGGTGCATAATTCTAATTTTCTATCTCAATTATCAAAGTAATTTCGTAATTAAATTATTATGAAAAACTAATTATTCATCTGGATTTAATTGTGAAATTCACCGTTACATTCTAGGATTTATTCAAATTTCAATAATTCTTCAATACAATTGGACATTTGAATATTATTTTTAATTTAAAATATTGAGATCTAAATTAATTAATGATAACTTTTCACAATTAGATTAAGTGAAATGTCTACTGTTTTAAATTTATTTTTTACTTACAGGAATTTAAAATAATAAGATTTTTTTATGCGTATTAAATATTCAGCTTTGTTGAAGCAAGAGAAAAAACTACTAAAGAAATTTAATTAGAACTTCTGCATACAATCTTAATGTAACTGAATACATTTTTTTTAATTTGCATCATCACCAACCGTACATGACTTTTTTATATTATCGACCAGCTCTAATGAAAGGGTGTATCAACTGAACAGTTAAGCTACTATCAAAAGTGGAATAATCTAAGGATTAAATAATAGTTTTCACTACGAAGGAGGGTGTATGAATGAATAAAACTAAATGAAATCCTTCCTGGTTCGTCCTTTGTGAATCACAACTAAAGCATGATTGTAAATACCTCTCATTATTCTTGTGTGCTTCAAATTTATACGAGCGTCTCGGCGTCTCTTATATTTGTCGCACGACATTAAGAGTGTACGAGGGGGAGTCCAGGAATTCAATACATTTTATTGTCGGCACTTGCCGTCACATAGATAAAAAGAGAGATTCTCTTTCGTTGTGATAGGTCACATAAGTTCATGAGGGAGTCGGAAATTGCGCCAACACATAAAAATATCAAGATATTGATAGCACAACAGACAATATGAATTACTGCCATGCGAATAAAAAAAGTTCAATCTTATTATTGCGATGGAAACTGATGTATTATTTCTTTAATTGGAAATGTTTTACACAAAAAAAATAGTTAATAATTCTATTACTGGTTTTGTTATTTTTCAGGTGAAGTATCATTTGAAAAATACAGTCTTGAATTAATTATTAATTGAAAATTTAAAGTATACAGTATATTTACGATGGATATTAAAAAAACATTGAACTGTTCTAATTTCATGAAAATACAGATGACCTTAATTGAATAGAACGTACAAATAGTGCTTTTAACATTCTCTGATAATAAGGTGATAAAATATAGCTGTAAATTTAACGTGAACGCATATCAAACTTTAAGTACATTTAGAAATATGGGTTTTAACAAGATTATTAAGAAAGAAAAAATGAAAAATTGTTAATAATATGTACAATTTATTTAAATTTATGTAGTTGATTATGACCTTTTTATTTTCTCAGAAATCAAATAAAATTGAGAATAATTTTTAGTGGAGGTAAAATCTAAAGCGTTACATTTCACGTCTAGAATAATTAACTTTTAGATAAATTATATCCTTTCATTTGGACATCGTGGAAAGTGAATTAAGTACTAACATCAGCAATTTCACTCGTTACTTCGCAAATATACTTTTTAATATTCTTATAGTTTCGTGTTTTTTAGTTGAGAAAGTTTTGTAAATAGAAAAATCCAACTGATAGAGTCACAAATAAAATACAGTTGAGTTTCGACTCGTATTTTTTAACCGAGTATCTCCAGTAATAAAATTTAATCGAGATAATTACGTACCGATAAACAAGTAATGGAAAAAAATTTCATTTAAACACATTAAAACTTGTGCTATAATTTAAAATTTTTTAGTTAATCAAAGACATTTTGTTCTTTCTAAAGTAATTCGTCGCTTTATCGCCGGTAGAGGAAAGCTTTGGGATTAAGATGAGAAATGTAGCCTAGCAAGATAAATGTCAATCGATAAATCCCATTTCGTCTTTCAATCTTCGTAATAACGAGAGAAACTTATCTTTATATACAATAAAAAAAAAACTATTGTTACATTGAATATGAAACATTTAATAAGTTTTGCAAGACTATTTTTAATTTGAAAAATTACTAAAGAAAAAGTTATTCTCAATGAATTCTCTTTGTTTTCAGCATTGAGATGCTGGTGCAATATTGTCTGTATAAGCGTATTTGTAATCAGAGAGACTTTGAGAATACTAGAAAAATGCAAAGGGCAAAGTGGAAAAATATATATGCATGGACTAGTATTGGAGCGTAAAAAAAGAGACAGAAGATGATACATATAAGAAAGAGAGAAAGAAGTATTTACAAACCAAGAAGCAGTAAGCAAAATGACGCTCGGGAAGATTGAAGAATCAACCACCAACAGCGACGGCGCAACAGTCGCATTGCTTCGCCTCGGACAGCTCTTGAACGTCTGGTGTGAATCAGTTCGCCGGAGCCTGTAGCGTGTATTAGTCGCGTTTGTATTCGGTTTTGTGTTTACATAAATGTGACGCGTCTGTAGTCATGTAATTAAGAAAAAGTCGGATGTCTTTAGAATTGATACAATAGCGTTATCACGACTATTCATTTTCATGTTTAATTCTAGTTTGAGTTAAATTCAAGTTTTGTTTAAATAAATCAGTGATCGAAAATGCAATAATTTAACGGAGATATCAATCGATTCATCAGTGAGTGCTTGGAGATTGTATTAGTGCTAATAAACACATAGTTTATGTATTCATGTGGATAAAAGAACAAGTGCCGTGTGTGTAGTGACAATTGTGCGCGAGGATAATTTCAAGAAAAAAATAAGTTTCGTTAGAAAAGACTCAAGATTTTGACTTCGGAGGCACGCGTCCCTAGCCTCAAATATGGATCTTCATGGTGCTTAAGGACGAAAGAGAAGAGGACGCCTTATACGGTGGTAAGTGTCTTATATATTTTTTTATGCAGTCTTCTCCTTTTATTTCGTGAGATCTTTGCTATCTGCTTCTTTTATTCACCTTCTTTGAGCACGTTCATCCCCTCTCCCACTCTTTCGTTTGTCCCTCACCATTCCTTTTCTTCTCCCGCTATTTCTCGTTCTCCATCAACGAGCTCTCATGCAAGGTCGTGAGGGCTAATTCGCTGTTTTTTTCATTTTTACACCATCGTGTGACTTGTTAAATTTACTCAAAATTCAAAGAATTAAATCAACTTCAATTCATATCTTATTATGTTCTATTTATTAAACAGAAGCGAGTTTTTTATTAAAGAAAATCATTAAAATTCGTTGACTAAGCATTTCTGATAAGATTTAAATCTTTTGTTCTAATATTGATTATAAAAAGGTATATTAATGTGCACGCTCACGGTTTTATAATAAACTTTCAAGCACTCCATACTATATTAAATATATTCAATAATCTTAATTATTCAAAAAAATAACCTATACAGTTTCAAATGTTTTCGGAGTAAACATCTGGTTGGCAGTAGAATTTAAGTGCTGTATATGCAGTTTTAGTTTTTTGAATAATTTTGAAAGTGTGTAGAAGCATGTCTTATGCCACATGAGCATGCAGGTCTCTTTTTCGAGGTACATAGTAGTACATACTTCGGTTACTGGACTTCCAATGGATGAGGTTAGGTAGCGTACGGTAAAACCTTTTAGGTATGTGGTCGTCTGTGAATCTTTGAAGCAGGCAACAGCCAAATCTCAGGATTTTGTGTTCGTTCATTTTGATTGGTCGACTCGAGAAGAATGCATAGAGAGAGGTAAAATGGCATAAAGAAGACAACACGAGGTCGTCCAGTCTCGTTTTGTGTTATGCTAGTGGGTATAAAGTGCATATACATAAAGTACATGTTTCATTCACTCTATCTCAAGTTCAATGACAAAGTTTTATAGTTGATCGGTAGAAATACTATATGTATACTATTGGGACTAAGTTCGATGAAAGAGAATATCTATGATACTATATATTTATCGTGAGTGTTGTTTTTTTATGTCACGTAACATTAACGTCTATCATTATGTATAAAGTTTAGTGTACATAAGTGTCTCATTACAGTCAAGTAATATTAAAGTTAAGAATTTTGACAGAAAAGATATAGATATAATAAATAAAATATTTTTGAACTTTCTTGCGCTAACATTGCCTGCATGCTTAGTTTAGTAGTTTACTTTTGTATTGCTTGTATGAATAGTTAGGTATGATTTTATATTTTCTGTAAATACATGAAACTTTTGTTTGAAGGCTTTACCATCGTTATCAAGCCTCAGTATTTCTTTGTTGTTTACTTAAAGTTCAAAAACAGTGAGACAAAGGTGAAATACGTGAAAATAATAATTGAAAAGTAAAAATTTCAAGAAAACTTCCTCTGCCTTTTTTTTTGTTTGGTTAAACAAAATTCAAATGATAAACAAAACAACTTTTTTTAATATTTACTTGTTTAAATTTTAACCGATGAATATGGACATATGGGAGTTTATATTGAGATTGTTTTATCATAAACAATATGACTGTTCTACATTGTTCGACTTGAAATGTTTATTAAATTTGATACATAATAATTTTTTTAATTCATAAAACGTAAAAGTCACAGAATATTGTAAATTTTATTTTCAAACAAGTGTAGAAAATAGTGAAGATAGAAGAGAGTTTCTCAATTTTTATTTATAAGGGAATAAATAAAAAATTTATAAGGGGATATTTTTTGAATAAATAATTTTTGTTTTTATCCGAAAACTATAAATTCTTCGCACGAGTTAGGCAACTTCGATAAATATTTGAAGAACTATCAGATCATTATGATTTTATGAACATTTGTGTTCTGGCAAGTAAAGTTCATCACAAAATTATTATGAAAGTCACATATTCTATCCGCTAGCTCATCCAAGAAATCATCCCATTTTTCATGGATTCACAAGTCTTCACGTTCTGTTTAATGATGAATCATAAAGACATACTTGAGATGAGTTCATCGAAATAATGTTCATGTCAAGTTCATTAATAATTCATTACAAACGGTAGAGGAATTTGTGTGAATTGTTTTAACTCATCACTTTTAATATTACTTTATAGACATTTACATTTATGTAAAAATATTTAGCATTAAACAAATTTTCATTATGTCATGTGGAGGTTAATAAACATGAAGTACACAGAAAAACAAATATGATATGTCAATTTGATATTAATAAATACCTTCAATAAATTAACAGATATTATAATAGGAAACTTTCCAATTCTGTGACTGACAACTTTTTGCAGTAAATTCCTAATTTAATTTCCATACTGAAATATATTTCAGAAATTTTTTGTTATTTGTGCCAAAAACATCCTGAAGGAGTAATGATTATTTAATGCTTTGAAGAAAACTTTAACAAATACCTGTATGTAATAGTAAAGTAAGGAACACTTAAATGAAAGCAAAGTGTTTTTAGAAGTAGACTTCAAAGCCAGTAATCAATAGGACATCAGTGTGAGTTGAGTAGTATACTTTTTCCTGGTTTTTTTTTAACAAAATTCCCAAATTATGTCTTAGCGAGTTATAGAGTAGAGTATCTGTTACGTAATGTGTTCTTGAAATGGGTGTATAAGTATACATGTCAAATACCAAATGAAAATGGATGTTTCTTTTTACTTATAAACTTTTTAAACGTAATTGAAGAATGATATATTACACAATTATTCTCTTTGACATTTTTTCGGATGTATTCTAAACCTCCCAGATTACTGGATTATTTGAGTTTATTACTCATTAATGAGTTTTCGTATATTTTACTAATTTGCTATTGGCGTTAGTTTTAACTTGGCAGTTATTAATTTCAATTTATCAATTTTACTTTGTTTTCTTTTGCAAAGTAAACTGTTTTTTGTGTTTACGTACTTTCTTCTACAGTTTATACTTTCCGTCTGCGAGTATATTCTTCGAAATATCATTGTCAATATAAACACTCAAATGCTTGTACTACCTTTAAATTTTTTTTTTTTTAGTTTATATATCAGACTTTCAACTTCTATGGCAAATAAAAAAAAAAAAATTAAAAAACAATTACTATAAAACACTGGATATTTTTAATTACTTGTTGATTTATAGAAACTGAAAAACGTTTTCATTAATAATACTTTAGAATGATACTAACACTGGCATTATTTTGTAAGAGTATTTTCATCAATTTCACAAAGCAACGTTTCTCTCGAAATGTATTAATATACACAAAGAAAAAAATACTGATATTGAAATATTTTTTAAACAATTTTTTTTTTTAATTATATTATGATAAGTAATGCAATATAAGTGCCACGTTATATCAGTTTTCTGAACTTTTATTTTTATTTATTCTCAGAAAGCTAATATTTATTTATGTATTGAAAAAACCTGTCTATCACTTATATAGATCAACTGGTAGATTGGTTTAATAACGACGTATTTATTTCAATTATAACAACATGGAGTATAGAACCATCAATAAGTTATGAAGAATTCTAACTGTAGAATGAAATCAAATGAAAGAACGTAGTGTTTATACACAGGGAAACTGTTATAATAATTATCGTATTGAATTTTGCTTGATTGTAGGTCATGAAAGTATTACAACATCATTTTTAGATCTGTTCAGTAGTTTATACATATTGTATATTATGCTTACACGTTTATGGTTGAGATTACAGATCTTATTACATCATACATCCTTGGGTTTTCAACCTTAAAAATATACGACAGTATAATATCAAGCATGTAGGAAATATTTTTAATAAATTAAATAGCACATATTTTATTGATTTTTCATACGCTTCGGCAAAGGTTTAAGAGCTTTTTGGATATAATTTATTCACTAACATCACATGGGAGTATTGCTTTACTTTGATATCGCCATGTATGATATTCTCTTTTATGTAAATCTCATTAGATAACGCATACTTTTAATATTTTACATTTAGAACTGTACGTGTATTTAAATGTGTAATTAGCAATTTGATGAAGTAAAAAAAAACATTTTTTAATTAAGTTTCTGCCATTATGTCTAACATTTTTAATCAGTAAATTAATATGCTTTCTTATGAAATATATTTTATATACTATAGATATCTATCGTTATTCGTTTATCCATAAAAATAAATGAGAAGTTTTTTTCTCAATTTTATAATAAATTAGAATAATTAATAAATCATTAATAATTCTATATTGGCAGCTTGATTTGCATTTTACTTTTTTCTGTTATTTTAATATATAAAATGTACTAATAAGATTTGGAAAAAATTAAAATTTTTGAAGGTATTTTTATATTTTTAAAAATTTCAATCAAGAATAAAATATTTAGAATGTCTGTGGCGGGAGGTTTTAACAGTGCAAGTAGTGTGGAATTGTAACAGTGGCGTTAACAGCTGCTGAGTTAAAACCCGTATACTATATTGAGTTGTGGATTTGTATTTTGAATGTATTGTGTTAGAGAAGAAAAGAGAAAATAGAATATAGGGTTGTAAAATTATTAAACAGGTGTGCTCAATCAGTGTTGTTTGCATTAACAAGTATAGTTATTTCAAGTACTATTATTGAAAACCATAATAAATGGATTATTGACGAATAACATTCCAATACAACAGATAACATAAATATTTAAAATCAATTCATTTGTTTGACTTAAATACAAAAATAATATATGCATATACAAGTAGTAAAGTTTTCATAAATTTTCAAGAGGATTAGCACTTCAATTTTGTTTATTATACAGTGAATGACGTATATTTCGTCAAATTTTAAAGCCGGATAAAATAAGATCAATAAGCTTTCATATAAGTTCGACGTTGAACGAAGGGAGTGGCAAAAAAAGAACCGGATATGTGGTCCAATGACGTGGGATAAAAATAAGTTCTGTCTTTTTTCACTTCCTCTATAATGTGCTGTTTCATATTTAATTTTCCTTTTATGCGTCGCATA